TCTGTAGCAAGCCAATGGCAAAGGCATCTCTTTAAATAACAGCTACAGTTCTGCAAGCATAATGGCTTTTATGTTTTTAGCATTCTGCATTTACTATATTTGATGTTTTGTTGTCAGCAGTTGGATAGCTTTGGATCTCTGCACACCATTGCTGAGCAGCAGACACTGGTTTGGCATCAGGGCCATAAGCACTGTGCACTGTGAGGTGTGTGCTGCAACGTTCTGCAGGAGTGCCAGTGTTCACAGCCTGGCCACTCAGTCTTCCTGCAAAAGAAGTGGAAAAAAGGGAAGACTGCAGGAGCAGAGGCCTTGTTCCTCTTCACCCTTGCCTTAGGGAGAAGTGTGCATTTTCCTTAGGGAGGCACCCATGCTAAGCTCACTCAGCTGGACAGCAGGTCCGTGGGGAGGATGTCAGATCTTCCTGACATGTGGTTCATGAGGTTCTGCAAAAAGTATGGAGTAATGGGGTGCTTTGCTTGACCACTGCTTGATTTTGTTTTGTTTTGTTAGTCGAAATTTAGTTTCATATTTTAGTGCAAAAATTCAGTGAAGTGCTTGCTCAACTGGACACTTTAAATAGCTTTTGCTGAATTTAGCATACCATGGGGTATATCAAGTTAGTTGGTGGAGGCTCTCCAACTTTTCCATCTTTTTAGATGATGTTCTGAATCATGCTGAAGCATCTTTAAGATTTCATCAGCAGCTCAAAGTTAAAGGGGTTGAGGCTGTGCTATGTACTGAGAATACTCAAATGTAGAACAAGAGCAGTCAGCTATGCTGCTGCACCTTTGAGGGACTCTACAGCGTTCTTTTTAGGAGTACATTAGAAAATAATTTATTTTTCTGTTATGGCAGGGTCACATTTTAGCTTGACTTTTTTGCTGCAGTGTGTCACATTCATGTTCGAAGCACTGGCCTGGTAAGCAACAGCACAACCTGAAGAATTTGATGGAGGGTCTGTAAGTCCATTTGATCTCCCTTATTCAGAGTTTGAGCAGACCAGATGCAAGCCTGGTTCATTTTGGAAGTCTTTTAGTGGAGGACCAAAGTGAACCTCATAAACCTTATTGTGAGCAGACAGATCAGGTCGTTCAGAGCTCTTTCATCGAGGTTTGCTGGATTTAAACTAACTTCAGTCTTTCAAGCAACACACTTTGTGTGTATATGTAATTCAAATTTTGTCTCTATACAACTGATCAAAGGGATGTTTGAAGTCTGGGAGACAGAGTAAATTTTCACAAAACAGAGAAGCTTCAGTTGTTTTCATCTTTCAGGAAAGCGTGAATTGATGTGGTAGTTGCCCATGATGGAGTGCTTCACCTTGTGGCCTCCTTTGTATGTCTTTAATAGGGCAGAGAATATTGCTGGGGGAAAAGGGGAACAAGAGATATTTTAGTATACATCTTGCCTTACTTTTCCTAGTCTCGGGCTCTGCTACCTGTGCTTTAGAAGAAGTTGCTTTCCCTGTTGAAGGCAAATCAGCTGTGACCAAACAACAGTATCCAGTGACATGTGGACACTCAGCATGAGCTGCTGATGCTTAAGGAGGACCTTAAGCAGGATATTAGAAAGGGTACTAGGAGGTTTTATACCACTGGCTAAGCATCTTCCCTTTCCTGGGTTCTGTAACTATTCAGACTGTGCTTAGGCTAGGGGCACTTTCCAGTGTTAGATTTGGGACTATTATCTAGGACAAATTCAAGACAGCACTTCATCAGCTACCAGTTTGTGAATTCAATTGGAATAAAACTCAATAACCTCACACTTAAGAAAGGTGTCCTTCTCTTTTATGATGTTCTGTGCAGACAGAAAGAACATTTTGCCCAAGTTCCCAAAATGCAGAGATGTTTTGGACACTGGGCTATACTGTGGATAGGTGTGATTACTGCTTATAACTTTTTCCCTTTATTTGCATTTCCTCATCAGTGGGCTTCAGTGAGATCCAAATAGAGGCATAAAGAAGTATGTACTGTAGATTGAAATCCATCATTCATATTAGAGTACTTTTTGCAAGAGAATTGATTTGAGAGTTCACCTTTGGAGGAATCTTGCTTGGAGATACCTGCACTGTATGAAAGGTATTTGTCACATACATTCTGTCCTTATCTGTATGATTTTGAGTGAATAATGCAGCTTCATAACCTAGTTCCTGTACCTTTTCTCCCTGTCTTTAATCCCAAATTATTGAGTATGCATTCATCTATTTTACTTTGGCTTATGGATGTTTTACTGTTAACTGCAGCAATAAACCATCTACAAGTACTGGTAAAACAATGTGGGAAACTCCTTGGACTTTCTTGTATGAGATTGAGATTCCATTTGGAATCTTGAGCTGGGAGAATTGCTCTTTAAAGTCTGCAGAAAAAGCAGCTAGCTGCCAGCTACAGAGCGATGTAAGTCCTTTGTTGATCTGCTACCACCAGAGTTAGCTGGTTAATGGTGATAAACATGCCAGGGGCCAATTCCAACTTTGCTTTGTTTCAAATTTTTGTTTATTGGAGTTTGACCAAGCCAGAAGTTTGTAGAATAGCTTTTGAGTTTGTTGTTCAGCAGGAATGAGCTTTTTTTGTTATCAAGACTTTTATTTTCTTTAAGAAGTTAGGACTTTGACCAGCTTGGTCTATCATTCAGTTCTTAGCATTGTTTCATCTTCTGGTGCTAAATCCAAGGCCATTTGTTTGTCACATTCGGGAAAAAGAACATATCATATCCTTGTGTGCATCTATCACCTTTGTAGCTGTTGAACAGTCTAAGCAAGCTGACTGTTTTCAGCAGGCCCAAATAATACCCACTGGCTCTTGGCTCTGAGGGTTTTCTGAAGCTCCAGAAACTCTCTTTCAGGGCAATCCACGGCTTTAGTACAAATCTATAGAGTGTCAGTGCTTTGGGAGGTGGATGGAGAGTTAGATGAGGATATCAGTTTTTCTTAATTTGCCTGTTTTGGGAAAGGGTCTTGTTTATTTTTTGAGGGGTGGTAGCTGCAGGAAATTCTGCAATCAGAGTTTTCCAAATGTCCATGCAGACTGAAAAATCTGGAAAATCACCAGATAAAACTCAGCTATTAATGCCTTTCAAATATGTCCAACTGCCTTTGAACTCCTCTGTGGAATATTGCATCTCCCAACAGCAAGCTAGAAAAGCCCTTAAGCATGTTATGAATTTGCTTGGAGAAATGTTAAAGGTGATAAAACTCTATGGGAGGAATTGATCATAGCTGCTCACACTTAGGAGTGAAAGAAGGGCACCGAAAGTGCTCATCATCACTTAGGAGTGAAAGAAGGGCACCAAAAATGCTCATCAGTGAATAGGTTAGACAGGGTTTTCCTCCTAATATTTTTGGTGACAGCCTTAAAACTTTCACTAGATGATATATGTAAACGTGAAATTGAATGGCAAGTTACTGCCTGTAGGACTGACCTAATAGGAAAGTTTCCACCCAAATAAATCCTTGCTTCATAATACTATCCTTGCTATTTCTTTCATGTGCATAATCTGAAGGTTTCTGCCAGCACAACTAACGTTTTGCCTCTAAGTACTCTATTTTCACAGTATCTTGAAAGCGCCAGCATGAAAACAGTGTGCCTGTTACTACAGTGATCAAACCCTTGAAGAATTTGCTGTTTCTCTCGTATCAGTTTAATAAATTAATTTCATCTATGCTGTGGAGACTACAGTGTGAAACAGAGCTTCTGTTCAACTGAAGTATCACACTTTAAATCTCACTGATGTTCTTACATTCTCCTCAAATTGTCAGAGGGTTATTTATGTATGACACAACTGTTTCTAAATACTTGTAAAAGTAGCTTTGAAGAGAAAGGTTTGGATTAACTTTTAACATAGGAACATTTTCAGTTTTGTAACCATTCCAGTCATGTTTGAAAGTGCTCCAGTTAACTGGAAGCCAATTAACTGGAAATTAATAGTTTTGCCAGTGGAGAGAAAGTTGTAAGTGCTATAAAATATGTAATTGAAGATGATTCACATTGCAGCATTGCTTCACACTAAAGTAGCTAAATCTCATCCTGCTATAAACATTATGATTATTACTTTTCTGGTGTTTATATGAAGTGTGTGTGTGTAGTCAGTCCAACACTGGAGGGGGGAAAAAGCCCCAAAGAATTCCTCTAAGAATTTATACTGTACAAAGTTATGGTTTTATTTCCTTAGACCTCCAGTAGCTCTTTCATAAGTGAGTAATGGGTAATCCAAAGATAGGAAGTTACTGTGTCTGTCTTCTTTTCTTGAAGACTGGAGAAGGACAGAGGAGAAGATGATTTTGTATTACATCTCCTGGTAGTTTCTCTTGTTTTCCATGGTATCCTGTTCTTAACTTCTAGTTTGCCTCTATCTGAAAAGAAAAACCAGAAGCTCAGCAATTATTCTGAGTGTATTTGGGAAAATGTAGATTATTTTTATCAAGGGATGCATGGGAAGTGGATGTAAATTATGGATATATATCTGTATCCAGCATATCTATCTGACACAAATGCACTCTCTAAAACCAAATGTGAAGTGCTGGAATCTGCCAAGTGAATTTCCAGTTCATTGTGAATAACACTTTTCATTAATAAAGAGTGTGTTTGACATGCAGTACTCCCAAGTCACCTGTTGAATTCTTAATAAAACTTCTTATTATCTTTTTCCGGGTGTCTAATAAGAGATGAACTTTCCTGCAACATATGGGTAAATTGTCCTCTCTCCTCCAATGTCCTGCTAATTTTTATTAAACTTTTAAAAACTTAATATCCTTGAAAATGTGTGAGGATTTTTTTCCCCTGTTTAGATAAAATTAGCAGGTATTTTCAGAAGGCCAGGAAAAGCAGGCAAATGAGCACAATGCTTGATAACAAAAGCTGTAGAAAACCAGACCAAAATTTTGCTTCAACTTCTGGTAATGTAACCAGGGTGTGGTGGTTTGGTGGTGAAATAGGAAATCATGTGTTGAACTGTAAAATATGTAAATCTGGTATCCTGGAGTTAATCTCTTGTACCTTTTGCAGGTGGAGATTTACATTTTACCTTTATATATTTACCTATGGAGTACGGTTCCTGAAAAAGGTAGGCACTTATATTATTATGCTTTCATAACATTCACAGACTTGAAGTCTTGTGCAGGTATAATATAAAGGACAGGCATAAAGTCTATGTTCATGAGGAGTGAAAATGAAAATTTAATTTGCATTCATAAAATGCTTTGCTACTAGCATTGGTAAGGAATAGAAGTTCTTATCAATATTTAGTGGGGTTTTAAAAGAAAAATGGTGTAGCAACATAACTAGTTCACTTGATTATTTTTCATTATAGGTCTTAAACTAGCAGTAAGGCTTACCAAAGTATTAATCTCAATTTCACCATCATCCTTGCTTAAATGCCTCTGACAGTGGTTACTTTTTACTAATAAACAAAATGCATTAGAGTTTTAGAAAAGAATACCTCTTTTGCCTATTCTTTATCTAATGTACTGTGGAAGGAGGTTTCTGTGGAGTTTCCCATCAGTGCTGTGTTTCACCTGATTTAAAAAGAGAAGGGTATTGAAAGCTTCTAAGCACTCTGACATAGGTCTGTTAACCCTGCAATAGAGAGTAATACGGATTTGTGGTGCAAACTTTTTACAGTGTGACTAGTTCTCAGCTTCTGTGCAAGTTGGGCCATATTTCTGTAGTTCTAGGAGGTGAAATTAGGGGAATGGTGCACTGTGTTCAAATAATCTTTGTTTTGGTCAAAACTTTGACACCAGAAAATGTATCCTGAATGTCTCTGGTGCTTTGTAAGTAAAAGAGGTATACTAATATTTTTTGTGTCTGTAGTTCTTGAGGCTGTCTCAGGTGCAAGGCAACTTGGTGTGAGCAGGAATGGTGATGTGCCTGTGGAGGGAGGGCACATCAGAGCTGTTCTCAGCTGTTTAGCAGTAGTCAACCCCAGGGGAAGTGTGGGCCAGAGCAGCATGCAGTTCCATTCTCCCTGTCTCCTTGAACACTTCTATTTTATGTGTACTTCATCCATTAACATGCTGTATGGTTCCTTGATCCCATAGCACTGTGTGTTTCAGAACCTGCCCTGCAGTGTGATGGCTAATGCGCTGCGGGGATGAAATAGGTCATCATAATCAGGATTTGAACTCACCTGTGTCATTTCTGATACTTTATAAGAAGGAATCAGTGTAATTGTAGGTTAAGAGTTCAAGTTGTTCACTTTCTACCTCAAATACTCTTTTCAAGAGCAGATCTGGTAATGAGTGTTCTATGTGAGAAAATGGACCAAGGTACCAATTTCAAAAGAGAAGATGAAGCTTTCTTTGTTACTACTGCCAGCTCCAGTCTTCACTGTTTTCCAGATCAGGTTTAAAATATTACTGACTGCAAAGTGGGTGGGTGGCCCACAAAATCATTTAATGTGAAGAATTCAACTTTACATAGAATCCTTATTGCCCCCATTCTTGGTAAAGTGGCAAATGCTAGATGTGACAATCCCCATCTTAGTTTTCAGACTTCTGAATGAGATGTTTTAGCACTGAAGGACTGAAGCCAGCATTCACTACAGCATTCTTTGTGTCTTTATAAATCACTAACATTTGAAGCATAAAAGATAAGTAACCAATTATATTTCTACTTTGATAATGTATATGCAAATTCTTTCCTTTCTGAATGAAACTGAGATTTTTCAGCTCTACCATTTGTTTCATTTGCATGTTTGCGTCTTTGCAGAGTACCACACCAGTAGTGATGTCAACAAGACATTAAGTTCCAGTGGCATTAAACTGACTGCTTTGCTTATCATTAACATAGGAATGAGATATAATGTTTTTGTTTTCCTCAGTAATATTTGTAGTTAAATAAATGGTGGCTTTGCTCATTAAAAGTTAATGGTCTGACTGTGCTTCAATTAAATGGAAAAAATATCATTATCTTTGGTGATAAAGAAACAGAGCAAAGAGTTCAGGATTGGCTTATTTCTTGCTTGCTTATCCTTGGTGCTAAGCAGTGCCTGTATAATGCTGTAAAATGAAAAATCTTTACAAACATATGGAAGCAAAGCTTCCAGGTGATATATATAGACTTTTCACATTTAATTTCCTTCCTTTACTTGGCCAAGAGATTTACAAACTCACAGAAGAGGATGAATTTTCTGCAAGTCTTCTGAAGTCTATACTGAGACTTGTAAACCTGAAGTTGCATGTAGGTATTCTACTGGGAAAAGAATCATCTGCCTGGATAAACAAATCTTGCTTTTTTTTCAAATTTAATGTTGAAGTAATGCAGATTATATGAGTACGCTGTGGCTATATTTAAAAATGCTGGGTGCAACAAGCTTCTGTATGTCTGCAGCTGATTGAGTGTCCTTCCTAATGAGTCATCCCCTACGGAAGAGCTGAGAACTGTCTGGTGGGTAGTTACAATTTCTAGTGGTACATCTAGCTCACAAAAGAACAGAGAAAGCCATGTTGAAGTGTAAATTTGCCTCCAAAAGCCTACTCATAGGATATAAGTGTATGGAAAGCAAATAGAAAATAGCTGGGTAGTATGAAGGAAAAAAACCACAACAGGTAGAGCTCCACTTCTTCTGTTAAGAAAGTTGCTCTTTCTTGAAATTATAGGATGCTTCAAATGAAGAAACTGAAGTGCTTGCCTTCATATGTGCACTAACCACTGAGCTAGAAAGCTTCTGTGTGACAGCAGGAGATGTTCTGTTAGTGGCCCACAGTTTCTGTGTGCACATTGAGAGAAACTGGCTTCATGCTTTTTCATGAGAGAGAATGTTGCATTCTGTTGCTCAGATGAGTTGGCTTATTCTTTGGCTCTTTTTTGGAATAAAATAACAGCAGTGATACATGCACATGTTACAGCCCAGAGAGAGTAGTGTAAAATTTGTAAATGCATTTCAGATTTCTTGTACTCCAGAATTTTAGAGCCTAAAGTCAGACCACCTTCATTTGAAACAGAAAAAAAGAACTTGTCAATAAAGTGGTGGCTGGTTACTGACATTGTTTCTGTATTACAGTTCTTGACATTATGTCTGTATTACAGTTTACCTGCTATTGAGATTGTTAACCTTAGATGAAAAAATAATGATTGTTATGCACAGCCATTTCATAAAATTAAATTGCTATATTCAAAATGTCCAGTGCTGTAGACAGTTTTTAGTCTTTGTAGCAGTAGGACAGACTTGATTTTGTGATAAAAGTTTCTCAGCTGTAGGAAAGCTATTTGCAGAACACATTACATGTTACAGCATTTGGAGCAGAAAAAAATGACCTGCATCAGAATATTCAGTATTTCATTTGTCGTTCCCATCTTCTGTTTCCCTACCTGCTGCATCTACTTTTGCATGAAACTAATGCTTCTGTATATTTTGTGGAACAGAACAATAAAAGAAATGCAGCATCTTGGAAGAATACCAAAGCATGAGTTTGGAAAATATCTACCACCTTGGTTTAAATCAGAATTGACTCTAGAAAACAGCACTGTAGCACAAGCTGAGCGGCAGGGGGTTTACCTCCAGAGCCTTGGTGTCTCTTTCATTCTTGAATCAATTGAAGCAGGCATTCTGCTGGGCACTTTTTCTACTCTAGTCTGCATCTGTCGTGATGTTTCCTTCCCATGTTCTTCCCAAAAGGTTGTAATATTATCTGTTACTGAAGTCTTGTAGTTTCTTTTGTCCAGTTAGCTTATTTGCCCAATGCTGGATAAATATTCTTATTTAAATGAAGAATGCCAGAAGCCACTGTGGAGCCCTTTTAACACAATGCTGATATTTGATATTTTGCTGTGCTATTAGCAGAGGGATAATGTGATACATAGGCCACTAAGGGAGGAAATGAAGCCCACATTTGGCAGATTTTGCTTGCTTTAAAATTGATTTGGATTCTCTGGAGGGTTTTATTACATTTTTTATTTTTTACTTATAAAACCAATTGCTCAGTTTCTGTAAGTAATTAAAATATTTAAGCTAAAATAATTTTGGATGTTAAAATCGAATTATAATCTTTTTCATTTCCGTGAAAGCAGGGCTGAACATCAGGTGATAAATAAAACAATTTCTAATTCACTGAGTGAGCGAGAAAGAATACCCATGTTCTAGAGTCTTTTGAAGAATGCTATTGTGAGAATGGGGAAATGCCATACTACATTTTTAAACAAGCATCACAAGTGGAAAATGTTTCCAGGAAGACCATAGTTAGATGCCATCTCATGGAAAAGGAATTTGTTTCAGATATATCTTCAAAAGGGCATAAAAATTGTTGAGGGCATTTAGGAGAGATTAATAGAGTGTTTTGGATGTTTGAGATACAAATCATGAGCCATGCTATGAGAAAAATCAAAGCTACTGGAGAAACTCAGTTTTAAATGACTGCACCACTTCGGTGTACATCAACAAGGAGAATGAATGCATTTTGGACAATGAGGCTTTGTAAGAGAAGGGGAGTCAGCCCAGGAAGTAATTCACTGCATAAGCTGTTGGAAGTTAAGATAATAACTGGATCAGGCAAAAAAGGACAAAGCTAAGCAAACTGGCAGAATTTATTTGTAGCTGAAAGGAAACTGAAGGTTTTTGAAAGGAAAAGCAAAAGGAGAATATCAATGGTATCCTAATTCAGTAATAGGATGGCAACAGGACTTTCAAATGTATACAATAGGGACAAGTTTTACATAATCATGGGAAAGAAAAGCAACGCACTAATTCAAAAAATGCATCTAGAATTGAATTTCATTTTATCTGTTTTGAATCCAGCTGGGGGTATTTAATAACATCAGAGTAGTAAGTAAATGCTATGTAATCATCAAATTGGCAAGTTAAGCTGGTACTGAGCCATATACAGCATCTCTGCTGCTTGTGCATTATGCTGTTGTTTGGGGCAGTGAAGAAGGGGCTGCCACACCTCATATCCCCCTGTGGAATGGTTGCTAATTTTGCCTTCAGCACAGTATTCATTTTCTTGGCAGTCCAGCGTTCTGAAAGACGAAATTTTTTCAGGGTCATATCATAAAAATAGAAGAAAAATATAGAAGAAATACTTCACAAAGTGTTATATTTGGACAATTTTATGATAAAAATAGTTT